AGTCCTACCTTGCTGCACTTCTGCATTGTCATAAAACTTTTTGGGAAGTTTGATGCAGGATGGTTGTGTTATTTTGTGGGCTGATGTGATTCTGTAGGCCTGGTTATACAACAGTGTAACTGCTGAGGAAGCCCACACAAGGCACATCTGAGCACTTCAATGTGTTCTTATCGTCAGAAACTATAGCCACTGCTTTGAATTCTGCTGATGCCTGCTATTTGACGTGGTACATGTCAATGCATTCACACATATTTAGGCTCTCTAGTTATCACTCATAGCACAGTTTGTAAAGCCAAACAAAAAATTCAAACCCAGCTCACATCCTCCAAAAACTGATTCCCAGTTCAGAAAACAAGTTCTAAACTAAGTTGCCATCATGCTGAAGTGCACTGACATAACAGGAGCCAGGTTTGATTTCGGGGTTTCTTATGGAGGACAGGATGGGGAGGATCTGAGTTAGCTGCTCTCAGTGAAATGCACTGGTGTGTATCAGACTCCTCAGTGAAGCTAGAATTGTCAGCACTGGGCTGGGAATAAGGAAGGAGCTGGTGACTGAAGCCGTGTGTCTCGGGAGCTGGAAAAGGAAGCAGGGACATGGACAGAAACCCAAGTGATGCACGGAAAGAAAACCAGTGCCCTCTCTCCTGAAAGGGCCTTTTATTATGGAAACAAAACTTGATTCTTTCTGTTGAAGGACTGTAGTATTTTGCTTAAAACTGGGTTTTGTAGTTCCTTGGTTAATTATTCGTCCAGATAAGGACCTACTTGTTGCTCTTTTTTAGCTTTGTCTCTTGAGTTAATTTGTATATATGTATATGCAAGCTTTTAAAAATATTTTTTAATTTCTGTCCACTAAAATGTTTTGAAAACTGTTACAGCACCAATTTTCTTTGCACTGCAGGTTTCTATAGCAGGCTGGGAACATCAGGAGAAAGCAAAAAAACTTCTCTCCTTGCCTGGGGTAAACACTTGACAGCAGTCATAATGCTGTGTAAATGCCAATTCCTTATATATTTCCTGGCATCCCTAGCAGATAGGTAGATTGTACTGTTTTGGAGTAAAATTATAAAGCAAAGACCATTCCTGTGCAGGCATCCTGAGGTGGAAATGTCTCCTGCAGTGACAGGATTGTTCTGTGTTGGCCCAGCCCGGGTAGAGATGAATGCTGGGCACTGAGTGGGAGGAGATGTCTGAGACTGGTGCTATTGCGTATTTTAGAGCAAGTTAAGTTAATATATGCTATCAGTTTTGCATGGGTTGGGTTTTTCTAGCACTTAAGCACTATACGGTCATGTTATACTACTGTAGTTTAAAGGTGGTAAGTACAGACGCAGTCACTGTGTGGGGGTACTTCGGGGACAGACACTTGGAAGGAGAAATGTATGTAAGATCCAGGATAGAACTTGTACAGGAACAAGTGGACACAGAATATGTACACCTCTGTCCCACTGTAAAAGGAGAGTGTTGGCTGGATGCTGTTGAATGTGCTTTCAGTCAGAGTACCTGGGACAAAAATCAGAACTGCTTTCTATTGTGGGCTTGTATGTGTGTTAGGGCACACTTTCTGATTCCAGGGACTGGACCCGAGTCACCTGGTGCCTTTTGCTCCTGGGTGTCCATGAGTGCTGCAACTGTATTGAATTGACTTCAAGTTCCTTGTCATTGATCTCAAATGGTGCCTAAATACATAACCTACGTGATGCTTTGGAAGGAAACAAAGTAGTGTGGGCAGCAGGGGAGAGGGGAATTCTGTCCCTCTGCTCCACTCTGGTGAGACCCCATCTGCAGAACTGTCTCCAGCCCTGGAGACCCCAACACAAGAAAGACATGGACCTGCTGGAATGACTCCAGGGAAGGCCATGGAGATGATCTGAAGGCTGGAGCCCCTCTGCTCTGGAGCCAGGCTGGGAGGGCTGGGGGTGTTCACCTGGAGAAGAGAAGGCTCCAGGGAGAGCTCAGAGCCCCTTGCAGGGCCTAAAGGGGCTCCAGGAAAGCTGGAGAGGGTCTTGGGACAAGGGCCTGGAGTGCCAGGACAAGGGAGATGGCTTCCCACTGCCAGAGGGCAAGATTAGATGGGATATTGGGAAGGAATGTGTTGGCTGTGAGGATGGGGAGGCCCTGGCACAGCTGTGGCTGCTCCTGGATCCCTGGAAGTGTCCAAGGCCGGGTTGTATGAGGCTTGGAACAGCCTGAGATAGTGGAAGGTGTCTCTGCCTTGGGCACGGCATTGAATGAAATTGTCTCTAAGGTCCTACCAAACCCAAACTGTTCCATGATCTACAATGCTATGGCTGCTATGTTCTCTGGGAACTTGTTATAAGGAAAGGATACTCAGTGTACTGAAGACAGCATAATAAATTTAGGCGAATGGAATTTAGGCTCTTCTTCACCTGGCAGGAGAATAGTCCCCCAGTCCTCCCCAGTGCAGCATCCATTCAGGAAGTGACAGTCCTGACTGCCAGGTGTCACTGTGGGTCACACTTGGAGGGATTAGTCTTGTTTGGAGTATATTTCCCTGGTCTTTAAGGGCTCATTTCCATAAGTTTTAGTAGGACCTAGTTCTGTTTGGTAGTTTGCTGGAGTATTCATGTTTATGTGACTTTTGGGACAGACTGAAAACAGTTGTTGCTCTGAGCCTTCGGAGCAGGCTGGACCTGTGAGGGATGTTGGATCCTTCCCATCCTTGGAAAAGTTATTGCCAGTTGTCCACCTGGTATTTTTTCCCTCTTAAACTTACTTTTGTTTTCTTAGTCTGGAAAAATAAGGTAGGGTCCAGGTGTTCAACGTTTTTCTAATTGTTCAATTACTCATTTCTTAAAGAGGTAAATAGTCTCAATTGGTAAGTGGGTGTGAACCAACCACATTTGATCTGACTGACCATCTTTGACTAATAAAAAGAATACTATAAAGAAATCACAAAAATCATGCTGGGGACGTGTTAGAAACATTGATGAGAATTTTGCAGATGTTATCTGTAGGTCTCCAGTGGATGGAATTAAATCCTACTTGGCTGGCACAGAGGTTTGCCGTTAGTTGTGTGATATGTCTAGTGTCATGAGAGGCTGATTGGAGCTGCTTTAGCTCCAGGTCTCTAAGGGAACAGGGTGTTGTTTCTGTGCGAGACTTGAACACAGGGGATCTGGATTCTCTGAGAGTTTTAGCAGACAGCAGGAATTACCTGTGGGTGTTTATACAAAGGGTGTATTAGACAACAGGCTCTGACATTGTCTGGGTTCAGCTGAGTTACTGCTGGATTAGGTTTCACAAGCAAGCAGTCAAAGGCAGACGCTGTGCCAGGAGCTGGTGCAGTTCTGCAGTCTGTTGGCATGAAAACACTGAGGGTTATTTTGGGGTTTCCTTCCATTCCCTTGTGGATTTTATGCTTGCAATCTCGATGTCTCAGCAGACTGGGCATCCTTTTTTACAGTATCTGAAGTTAATGTGAAATTCTCTTGCAGCCCTTTTCTTCATTTCCTCTGACATTTGTGCCAGGATATCATCATTTGACACCTGTGTCTGTATTTGGTATTCTGAAATGTCTGGAAAGCATAAGGAAACTTTTGTCAGCCAATACCATTGCAGAGCCAAGCAGTGTGATTAAAAAAGGGCAATTTCACCACAGAATCCTTTACCATTACAATTTGCTTTGTCTTCTAGTGTCCTTAAGCCTAACAATAGAGCTTAACTTAAAAGTAGTATATTGTTAGAGGAAAATAGCACATTTTCCTATGCTTGCTTACAGTCTCATAGATCTGACAGAGACGAGAAGTTAGCTTAAAAATGTGTGTCTTGGGTTGAATTGCAGTTGTTTTATTGCTCTGAAAATAGTCTTGAAACTATTTTAGTTATTTTTAGACCTACATTGACAAGAGCCTATAATTGTTGGGAAAGTGCAACCCAAAATGATCTTAGTATGTAATGCTGTAATGGATAGTAGCAATTGTGGAGATTGCAGATAGAAACAGAGCAGGTGTCTAGATAAATATCCTTTTCCTTAAATATTTTAAGGATTTTTATTATTAATATCAAATTCTTCCTGTAAGAATTAAGAGTAAACTTAAATAAAGTGTACATGAATTGTATACCTTGAAGAAAATTTTTCAGTCTTCACTATGGCTGCTTGTTTGCTGTATTTATGAAGGATTGGAGACTTCTTTTTCCCTCTTGTCCCTAGGGTTGGGGGTTGGAATAGCCAAAGAAATCACAGGGCTCTTCATTTCATACTTGACAGTTCATCTGTTGATGTTTTCTGACTTTCTGCTCTCTATCCACAAGACTTTGTACTGATGAACTTGGTTAAGTGATTGCCTTTCTCCCACGTTGCACTGTATTGGGAATGGCGAGGTAGTAATAACACAGACTCTCTTGTGGGTTGAACAGCAGAGCAAGGTTTATTACCCCAGATCTTCTTTAAGAGACAAGTACACGAAGGACTGGAAAGGTAAAACCCTTATTGGTCAGTAAACTAAGACATCACCATCATCAGTCAGTCGGGTACACCACCCCTTGACCTTCTCTTTCAAGAAAACAAGAAATTGACAACACCTGCCAGGCTGTCTTCTATCTCAAAGGATTATTTTGATTCCTCTTTATGATTTCTCAGGCTACTTTCTCAGGCTAGTCTGACAAAGTTATGTGATTTGCTTTTCCACAGACACTGTGCTCCCTGCTTGCTGCTTGCTTTTAGCATCCACGCTCCCACACCTATGGAGTTTGCAAGACTGTTCAGAGTTGGTGTTTTAGTTCTAAGTTTCTTGCTGTTGATGGGTGCTCTGTCCAATACCCTCTGTCTAGGAATGCAGAGGGATGTCCAGAGTGGAAGTAAATGACCTCTGAGTTACTCATGATGTGTGCCAGCCTTGGGAAACCATTGGCTTACTGAAATATTTGCTGTGTGGATTGTGTATGTTGAGTTCACTTCTTGTTTGCATTTCCTTTCATTTTAGTAATGATAACGTTCTTTTGTTAGGATTAATTTTAAAAAATGTTCTTCTGTTTAGGACACAGCTTAGGCTATGGCTTCGTGAACTACGTAACTGCAAAAGATGCTGAAAGAGCAATAAACACACTGAATGGCCTCAGACTTCAGTCAAAAACTATCAAGGTAGGAGCTCTTCAGTCTTCTGTGAAAACAGCATTGTAATAAACTTCAGTCTGATGGTAAAGTCTGTGTGCTGCAGCAAGCATGAATTTGGGAGGAGAGCAGTGAAGTGTTTTGAAACAGCTTAGAATTTGAAGATTCCCTTTCTTTATATTCCCACCATTTGTACAGCAAGAGAGGGACCATTATAGATGGTTGCCAGGCTTTTTAACTCATGCACTTCTTGGATACTTCATAATATTTATTATAAATCTTGTTAATACACATGCACTTCTTTCCTTATCCAAAACAACAGCAAAACAACAGTTTTCGTGTGTATGATTCACTCCTGCCTAGATGATCTATGCAGCTTTCTCCAGTATCAGAAACTGTGACAGAAAACTGCACTCTACTCATGCCATCTTTTTATGAAGCTTTGGAAAATATACTGGCAGGACAAGTTCCTGATGTGAACTGTGGCAGGTCCAGTGGTTGAGTCAGAACTTGAGAATCTTGACGTGGCAAAAGTGTTTGCCAGGAGTGTTGGTATTGGTCTTCTGCCGTCTCCTTACAGCAATGCTTCTATAGTTGTTATTTCTTGGATAAACCCAAAATGAATGGAGTTATGTAGGGACATTCCCTTTTTCCTGGTGTTTGGTTGATTTTCCCTTATTGTCTCCTGGTTCCATTTTTTTGAACTCCAATAAAAATGCATGTGTTGGTAATGGGGGAGTTAATTAAGTTGGCTCATGGCAATAAATTGATCTTCCCTGTTAATACCCTGAACATGTATTTTTATTTCTTTTAAAGGTTTCCTATGCCCGCCCAAGTTCTGAAGTTATCAAGGATGCTAATTTATATATCAGTGGCCTCCCCCGGTCAATGACACAGAAGGATGTAGAAGATATGTTTTCCCGTTTTGGGCGCATCATCAACTCACGTGTGCTTGTGGATCAAACCACAGGTGAGTTCTGGGGCCTTGGCTGTGGAAAACTGGAGTGTATGGCATGTGTTTGGTGTTTTTCTGAGACTGGCAGTACCTAAACTTAAGTAAATTAGACTTCCACCAACTAGTCATGGCATCTGGTGCCAACCAGTGATAGAATTTTAATGGGATATCCATGTTCAATGATTTTTTTAAACGCAGAATGACTCGTGCTGTCTTTTTGTGAGCTTACAGCCCAAACCTCAGACCATATTAAAATAAGATTATTGTCATTTTTATCAGCTACTAATTTGCCAAATCTGCTTTCTTGCACTGACACTTGCTGGTGCTGCAATGCACTGTGTTTCTGGGCCACATGTGTAACCTGGAGTGCTGACCTTACCTTGAATTTACACACATGCAGCTCTTACCCACAGGTCAATTCCAAGCCATAGTTACAGATTTAAAGCAAAACAAAAATGTATTTTGTCTTTTGTACCAGCCTGGAACTCACTCAATTTTCTTGTATTTTAAACCATTTGAGATGTCTTACAGGCCTCTGTGGTTACTGCTAAGCAAAGGAATGAATTTCATGCACTTAGTACTGCCCTGAAAGTTCTAAAGGTATTTTGTGTACTAAAAAAGAAAAAAAAGAGAAAGTGGAGAAGTTATCTAGTTAGGCACTTGGCTCAGAGGAGACCAAAGTTAAGGTTTTCTTTATGATGGTAATTCTGACTCTGTGTTACAGTGTGTTTTCAGAGTTTTAATTTCTTACCCCATTATTTCAGACAACATAACTAACTGGCTTATCCTGTCACCCAGGTGTTCTCTGGTTTTACTGGTAGTCCATATGTCATGTATTAATGTGGAGAGAGCTTTTACAAATACACTTTTTCATTGATTATGCATCTGCTGTACTGGAATAGAAGACAATCTAATTCCAGCAATTCCACATTTAACATTTATAACTGGGATGTACATTCATACACATCAGCCTAGAAGCAGCTTTCCTGCTGTAGTTCTGAGTGGGCCACCAGCAGCTCCTGGTGAGCTCAGTCTGAGTGCAGGCTGAGGTCTGCAGGCTGTGCCCCCATCAGAGCCAGCTCCTGGTGCAGGCACCACTTGCAGGGGTTTGGTCAGATTGTGCTGCAAACAAAACTGTGCATCAGAGAAACCTGAGGTGACTTGGTGAGATCTGGGGACTCACATGGAAGACACTCCATGTTTGGTAAGGAAAATCCCATCCTGCCTTTCTGGAAGAAAATTACTTGTTTTGCCCAACTCTGATACCTGCATAGTCCTGTCTCTAGAGCTGATTAACTAGGATGCAGCTGTAATGAGAAGCAAGAAAAAGACTTGTGGAGCACATTGAACTTAGTAATGTAAGTGTCCGAACTAGTCATCCCTCTCTGGCAGTCCATGGGGTCTGGAGAGCATCTGGATTTGACAGAGCTGTAAAGTGAGGTGACAGAAGTCATATAAATAAAACCTCCACAAGAATAATATAGTTTTCATGGGTGTGCTGAGGCCTGATGCTGTATAATTCAGCTCAGAACACACCGTTCGCTTTCCAATAGCCTAATAATGCGTTGACTGAAGAGTGGGTTCTGTTACATCTCACAGTATGCCTGCAGAGCTTGGGCTTCCCATCCCACCAGGAATGTAGCTGTGCCTTGGCTTTAAGCCTCCCTTTCATATCTTCATCTACTCCCAGTAAAGACATGTTTTAATTTGTACTTAGCTGTACCTTCTCACAGAGGTGGTACTCCAGCTTTCGAAAATTATTCTGTTTAAAAATACACTTTCTACAATATTTATGTTTTGAATGAATGCTTTGAAAAGCACTAGGATGAGCATCACGAAAAATGGAGTCACAGTAAGCTGAACTCTAGTATAGGCCTTGCTGAGTTGGGCCTTCCTAGGGTGGGACATACCCTTCCTGCTGGCACGAGAGGCTGATCTCAGTGGTACCCGAGCATTATGTGCTGTCAGCTCCACTCTGGTGAGCCCATTTGTTGCTATTTACCAAAATGCAAACACACCTTGTTTCAGGCCCAGGTTTTGACATGTTGCATTTTGTTCTGTGGAACAGAGAAAATGATCCTCAACAAACTTGTGATTTATAAAAAGCTTAACTTCTGTATCTGGCTTTGAAGATGGTCCTGGGTGGATGTAAAGAAAACATGAAAGTGTCTGATATGACCCTTTCTGAAACAGAGCTAATGAAGTCCTGCATTTAGTCTGGCCACGATACTTGCTTTGGAATGGCAATTAAACAAAATGTGCCCTTTTAGCTTCACTGTGATAAACCATATTTTCAGCCTGAGGTCAAGTCAAAGATGAGAAGCAAGGGGAGGAGAGCTCACCAAGGCATAACATACCTCAGTCAGATGGATCACAGCATCCAGGGGCTGGGACTAGGAAAAAAATATGCAAATTTTTAACAGCTGTGATACTGGTTCAGTACAGCTACCAAGAGGTAATTCTTCATTGATTTTAATGAATAAAAATAATCTACATGCCAGCTGGAAATAATGTATGTGGTGCAGGTGAAATTGTGATTTCTCCATTAAAAAAGGTGAGAGTCCTTTATTACAGTCAGACATTTGTTCCCTCATCTCTGAACCTGAGTGTGTTTCTAGCATGGAAAAATGAAAACATTTGCAAAAATCTATCAATTCTGTGTTGGCAGATGGTTTTTGGTGATAACATAATCAAAACTAAGAGGTTTGGGTTTGTTTTTAACTGGAATTAATTGGTTTTTTGACTTAATTTAAAATGTTGAGGAGTTTTTTGTGGATGTAAATGTAAGTTGGTGATGAGTATCGTGGAATTCTACCACATATTATTTTAAGTGTTTACTCACTGTGGTTGTTATAGCTGAAATGAGTATGCTATTTTGTCTTTGGTTTCTTAATTTTGTGCTTTATTCTCTAGCTGCTGAAGAAATATAAATATAGAGAACTTGAAAGCTGTGACCAAAAGAAATACTGAACTTTTTTGGGTTTTGTTTTCAAAGTTATTTTGAGTTTATCCTGAACTTCAATTTTTTTTTATTTTTTGTTTTTTTTTATTGGTTTGGTTACAAGGTTTGTCCAGAGGGGTCGCATTTATCCGGTTTGACAAAAGGTCAGAAGCAGAAGAGGCAATTACAAATTTCAATGGTCACAAACCCCCAGGTTCCTCCGAGCCCATTACAGTGAAGTTTGCAGCCAACCCTAACCAGAACAAAAATGTGGCACTGTTGTCGCAGCTGTGTCATTCACCAGCTAGACGGTTTGGAGGGCCAGTGCATCACCAGGCGCAGAGATTCAGGTAGGTTAGGAAGAATAAATGCATTTAAGGCTGTGCTCCTGTTCCTGTGTCCGTCTGGGGAGCTGTGCCCCAGCAGCTCAGCAGTGATACCTTCATTGCAGCATGTGTGAATGAATACGTAGTGCACTATGTGTCCTCAGTGTTATGTAAAGAAACTGTTGCATTAAAATATGATTAAAGAAAAATCTCACTTGTAAAATTTATATTGAAGTTAGTATGTAAAGCTACCTGCACTCTGGTGTCTGTTTCCACTACTGGGTTACAGTGAGGGGCCAGCAGCAGCAGGTTCCAGGTGGCTGTTGGTAGGTGCCTGTCTCAACAGATCCCCATTCTGTGGTCTATATATCTGAGCACAGATAGAATTTGGCAACTTAATTAAAGCTCTGAATGGTTGGTTCCAGCAGGGAAGTGTTACATCAAGAGAGGAAAACCTTATCTCTGACGAGAAGGTTCTGTGGGATTCCTGCCTGCATTGCAACCTGTGCAGGGTTCTGCTTTCCCTTGAGGCCTCTCAAATTTACTGATGAGATTATTGAGTAGTTGCAGCGTCCTGTCTGCTTCCAGGGCTATGGAAGACGTTTGCTTTGCCATAGAAAATTGCTTTGGTTGCTTTGAATATGAATTGTTTGAATTGGAAATGTCTTGGGTATTCATGGAGGAAGCTGATGGTTGGAGGGGACTCTGGAAAATGCAGTGTCTTGCAAAGAAGCAACAGGCTTTGAGATGATATGTTTCTGAGGGTAGTGGTTCCCTGTTGAGAGTTTACTCCTTTTTTTTGTTTGTTGTATTTTTCTCCTGTGAAGGATCCAATGAGCTCAGTAAAATTGAACTAAAATCTCAGCCACCTTTTAGTTGTGCTGCTTTTCCAGTGTTGCTGTCTCCTGTCTGCAGTGCTCAGCATTTTGAGCACAGCTCTGTGTAATGGGTCTCCAGAGAAAATTCGTACTTTTGTAGTCAGATGTGGTTTTATTCTGAGAGTGGTTGAACAGTTTGCCCAAGGAGACAGTGAATTTTCTGTCTTTCGAGATGCTGAAACCTGGCTGGAATTGTGATACCAAAAGGATTAATCTAATTTCTACTGTGCCAGTGTAGTTTCAGCAGAAAATGGGGTATGCAGAATCTGCTTTCTCAGTAAGGATGGTTGGAAGATAAGGGGAAGACATCTGGCTTAGGAATGCAGCCACAGCCAAAACAAGGACCGAACCTGGGAAATTAGGGAGAGTTTTGTGGTAATGAGCAAAACATACACGTGATGACTGTGTACAAGCAGCACACTTGTAGAAGGTCATGTGCACGCAAGGTGGAGTTATCCCCTGTGCAACCAGGCCTGTAATGAATAATGCCCTTCTGAACGCTCCATTGGTGTTAAGGAGTTTTATTGGAGTGGTTTTGGTGAGTTTCGGTGACAGGATGAGCCTAAGCAACTTGCTGGAGCAGGTGCCCCACTTCAAGCAGGGGGGTTTATTAGAGGATTTCCAGAGGTCCCTGCCAGCCTCAGTTGTTCTCCAGTTCTCTTCAGCTATAGTCTAGGGAAGTTTAGCTCAGGCAGCTCTTGGCTTCCCCAAAGCAGTCACCCAGATCTCCACACCACACTTTCTGAGCCATGCCAAGGAATGAAATTCTGCATTGCTTGTGTTTAGGTGAATTATTTTAAAAATTAACACATCTGCCCTTTGTCTCAGCCAGGGCTGCACTGTGTCCTGATCCTTATAAAATATTTTTCATTCTTAACATTCTTAATTGGACATTTTCATCATTGTCCTTCCCCCTAAAATTTATGCCATGATCAAAATGCATCAGAATAAGCAGTGCAAATAATATTCCCATCCATGATTAAGAGACCAAATACCTTTAATTCAGTCCTGTAATAATCACTCAGGAACAATAAAAATTATTAATGTATTTATGTCAAGAATTGCTGGTGAAACTAAATTCTAATAACCAGTTTGTTCATTATTCTATTGTTGCACCATTTAGAGCAGCATTAATGTCAATTGTGTGCATTTCATAGAATCACAGACTGGTTTGGGTTGGAAGGGACCTTAAAGCTCATCTCTTCCCACTCCTGCCATGGGAAGGGACACCTTCCACTATCCCAGGGTGCTCCAAGCCCTGTGCACCCTGGCCTTCCAGGGATGGGGCAGCCACACCCAGTGTTTCTGTAGGCTTGAGATGTCACAGTGGGGATTGAGATGAAGAAAATGTTCTGTCTCTGTTCCATTCCTGCTGCTGTGGGAGCTGGTCCTGCTGGATGTCTGTGCCCAGTGCTCGTTTGTCAGCCTAATTTGGCTGGCTGCTGCTCCCAGTGACAGACCTGCTGGTGGGGAAAGAGCTGAAGATTTTGAGGTCCCACAGCCTGGCAAAGGTAGGAATAGAGCAGTTGTGGGTCAGGCTGTGCTTTCAGGAAGATGCTGTAGAGCCACCAGTTGACTTGCAGACACAAGCTCTTCATCTCTGCCTGGTCACAGACTTGAGAGAACTCCAACACTTACTACAAAGCTTCCTTCCCTCAATCACTCATGCAGACACGTCTGTACATGTATGCCTGCATGCACCATGGAGTCATGGAATGATTAAGATTAGAGAAGACCTCCAATATCATCTAGTCTGTCTCACAACCCTTTGTATTTTTCTTCCCATCTTTAGAGTTAGCTGCAAGTTTTTCTTGTGAGTTTGTCTTCCTTGAAGGATGCTGAAGTGAAGGAGTTGTGATTACTCATGCTGTAGATAAGCTCAGGAACCTGAGTTTGGGCTGAGTTTTTTTGTTTTGGTAGTGAACAAGACATGATGACTGGATAATCAGATTCCACAGAGCCTGCAGTCTGTATAAATTAAAGTTGTGATCTCTGCTCCACAGAGGTTGAATACTTATCCTGATATTTTGATTGCATTTCATCTTGTTTCATCATAATCCCTGTAAATCCAGGATTAAATCTTTAGTATCTAATTTGTAATTATTAATTTCCTACAGATATTTCTCCAACCCTTTGTATAATGTTCTTTTAATCCTTTGAGTTCCTGTGGTGTGGCTCACATCAATCTTAGTCCTGTGTCCCACTGGATTCCTGGGCTAATTCAAAGGCCCAGAGGGTCTTCTTCCATCCAGAGGGAATGATGCCACAGGATGGGATTGTGTCTGGAGGACAGATAAAACATCTGGGGCAGGGGTTTCTTTACAGTGTAAGATTTCTTTCCTTAAAGAGAATAGCAGATCTCCAGGTGCTGAACTGTGATGAAATGGAGGGGTTTAGCTCCTGAAGCATGAGGAGACTGCCTAGGGCCCCTGGAAGTCCCGTGCTTTTGCAGCTCACTAGAGCTTTATAATAGAACAACATTCTTTCAAATCTCAGTTATTGCCAGTTCAGCTGATTTAGCTTTCTGACTTGTTCCGGATTGGAGCCAGTTCCCAGTTCCTGTAATGGGCATAACTACTGGTATCAGCCCCTGAGTTCTGCCCTGAAGGCCTGAAGGGGAGGGAGCCATTTCTGACAGTTCTTTCATCCAAGGGGAAGTGCAAGAAGACTGTTTAACCCTGTCAGTGATACGGTTGCTCAGACAGCTCCTGTACATCTGCTTGGTTTCACTCCAGTGAAATTGTTTAAATTTTTAGTTTTTTGACCAATTTGTAATTTGGATGCAAGCTGTATGTATTGACTAGAAACCATTTCATCCAGAGTACTATTTCACCAGTTCTGGAGGAATACAGGAGTGAAACCCCAATTGCTTCTGTTCTTCCTTATGTGGTTGTTTGATCCAACACCCTGATTTATTTCAGGCTTAGAGCTTGTGTCACGGAGTTCTCAACAAGATTTGTGTTGACCACAGCAGATAATTTTTGTCTGTAACTGAGACAGCAGAAAAAGTTGCTTGTCAGAAGGACATCATCAGTGTACCTGAGCTCCTGCTCTTTGTGGAATTATTAAAAAATAAAAAGCTGCCAAGCTCAAAGGCAATGACAACACAAGCAGGTATTAAAACTAGTGTTCCTGCTTATTGGCATCCCACCTGTGTAACGGTACAGTATCTAATTGTCCTTAGAATGCAGGGAAGAGAGTTCAGCAAAACCAGCACAAAGCTTTGTTAGGGGAGGTTTAGGTTGGATCTCAGTTCTTCCCCCCGAGGCTGCTGGCACTGCCCAGGCTCCCCAGGGAATGGGCCCGGCCCCAAGGCTGCCAGAGCTCCAGGAGCGTTTGGACAGCGCTCTCAGGGATGCTCAGGGTGGGCTTGTTGGGGGGTCTGGGCAGGGCCAGGGGCTGGACCTGATCCTTGTGGGTCTCTTCCAGCTCAGGAGTTTCTGTGATTCTATGAAAAGTATTTATAGGACTTCTATAGACCTAAGGATAAATTGCTTTCATTTAGGAGTGTCATTTCTGAGATTGCATCCTCCCATAGGTTAAACTCATCCCAAGATCTGTAAAAACAAAGCAGTCTGTCTGTCTAATGGCAGAGGGAGCAAAAGGTCATTAATAGAAGTGAGAAGCTTATAAAGTGAAGAAGAGTCATGATTGAAAATACACTGTTGTTGATACTTAATGCCCCAAGATGTTGGAAGTATTAGGTTAGCATGGCTTGAAAGAACCATCCACAAATAACACTGGCTACAGACTCTTCAGGAGGGTTGAAAAAGCAGTTTGGAGGAGACAGTATAAAAATAATTATAACAAAAATGAGGACACCAGTTGTAAGTGTGCTGAGATTGTTCAAATTACAATATTAAAGGAATTTTAAAACCATTTCCTCTGAAACATCCTGTATCTCTGTTTGCCTTAGTGTTTGCCCTAGTAGGACGTTCTTTTAAATATCCTTAATAAGTATAACTTCCTAAACGTCATCTTAAATTGGCATGGCCACAAAAATCTGTCGTGGTAGGACAGAGAGCTGTGTCAGCTGCTCCAGGTCCTGCTCATGCAGGCTGTTACCCTGAACTGACAGAGATCTGGGGTCCCTCTTGTGCAGACTGGGAACAGAGATGCATCAGATTGGCTGAATAGTATTTCCTACAGGGTTTGTTGTTGTTTTTTTTTTATAATCTTTTAGGGTTTTTTTTATTTTTTTTTTTTTGGTTTTACCCTGTTTTGTTTAGTTTGGGTTTTTAATAAACCTGTAACATTTTTGTGAGTCAAAGCAGGAAGAGAGGACAATCTGTTTGAAGATAAGTATATCCAAAGAGCAGGGGTACTTGCTATTTTAAATTATTTTGTCTGTAACAAGCATTTAGATTTGTTGTTTTCTTGCATTTAACACCAGTTGCTCTTCTTCAACTGATTGCAGTCCTTGATGTGGTGTTACCTGGGCTCATGGGCAGAGCCTTTGAAGCAGGCAGGGGCAGAGCTATAATGACTGCTGGAACCAACGTCAGGCAATTCTGAGCTCAGTGGTTTAAGCAGGGACTTGGGACTGGTGATCTGTTGAGATGAAAACTTGACAGATTTTAAGATAAATTCATCCTACCAGACCATTACTCACTTGGAAAGAAGCTACAGAACTGAAGGTGTCTGTCAGAACAAGTAAGTGTATCAAGCATACAAGCGCAGGAATGTTTTTGTACAAAGCCAAAAGAAATAGCAGATGTGTCACCTCATCATCAGATCACATGGATTGGTATGTTTCATTCACCTTGTGGTACTTTTAACTGCTTTTTCAGTTTGGCTATAGAACAAGGCTTTCCAAACTTGGATTTTCGTGGGGCTGGCTGTTAGTGAGTCGGTGCAGCTCAGGAGTGTCCCACTGTGCTCCGGGAGCCCCTGGGCTGCAGAGCAGCAGTGAGGGAGGGATGGAGTGACACTTGTTCTGGGTACAAGAGAGTCCAGGAGCTCAGGTGTCCAAGGCAGTGAGCTCTGAGCACCAGAGAGCCTGGGGGAGATGGGCACTGGCTGGTTCTTGTGTGTGAGTGCAGAGAGTGTGTGCGTGTGTGCGTGCACTGCCACCCCTCTGCTCCCCTCCCTCCCTATACACTTCCTCGAGCCCTCCCTCCTCGGAAAAGGCAGCAGCAGCTCCTTGATGCAATGCAAGAGTCAGAGGGGAAGCATTTGGCACTTACTGCACCATTCACTGCCCAGACATCCCTTCCCTGTTTCCTCCAGGTCAGCAGAGAATCAGGATCTGCCACCGCCCTGCTCTTGGCAGAGAGCAGCTCGTGTACCGCTTTTAAGGGGTTTGCAAATCACCAGTGGTACACCTCAATTTGGGAACCCCTGGTATAGTATCATTATATTTCTATGATCACATGACCTCATATTTTTAAATAATAAATAAGTACAAGGGTAAAGTGAGTTTTTGACCTTAACTTTCACATTTTCTGGCCTTTGAGTGCTTAGCTGTGCAGCCCTAACATTGCACTAAAATATTGAGAAGCTTTGATTTTCTGGAGTGTACACCAGAAATAGAATAAAGGGGAATTAGAAATGTGGGTTATAGGGAAAATAAATACAAAGCAAGACATAAACAGGAGAAGATTTTTGCATTTTGTTATGCATGAATCCTGCCTAGGTATTGTGAAGGAGGCAGGATTCAGGAAGAGTGTGTAGGTGATTTTAAAAATCCACTTCAGTAAAGTCAGATCTTAAGTTTTCCTGGAAAAATTAATAAAACAATCAGTACACACTGGAATAATAAAACTGCACTGAGCCTGCTCATGTTGGGAGTGTTTGCCTGTACCTGCTGCCTTTGGGTGGAAAGGGAGTAGGTTTTGTTACGTTTTACAAAAGAAGAAATTAAGACATAAAATCTCTACTCCTAAGAACACAGCACACTCATCCCTGCCCCAGTAAACCCAAAGAAACTCTGACTTTAGAGTTTCCCAACATATTCTTTTTGAAGCAAGAAAAGGAGCATGGGGTGAAAAAAAAATCTCCTCCTGTGAAATAAGTGGGAGATGTCTGGGGCCTCTGGGAAGGTGCTGCCTGTGCCCCCAACTCGAGCAGTTCTGCAGCAATGCCCTGGACACTCTGAGCAGCCTGGCTGAGTTCAGAGATCCATCCAAGTACCCTGGGAAGGTGATAATGTAATTTTGCCTTGCCTGTTCCTTGTTTATTTCTAAGGATAGTTCCCTGTTGATAAAGCAGTTGGAATACTTACCTTTTTTTTCCTGGCAGCTGTCAATTTGATTGTCAATTTGAATGGGGAAACATTTATGTGGCGGTTTTGATGTGCCATGTATAAAATATTCATTCTCAGTTGCTTCCCATTCAAGTTACTTTGCTTAATTGAATTGAACTTTTACATGAAATATTGTGCTTTTTATTTGCTAGGTTCTCTCCTATGGGTGTAGATCACATGAGTGGGCTTTCTGGTGTAAATGTTCCAGGAAACGCATCTTCTGGCTGGTGTATCTTCATCTACAACCTTGGTCAAGATGCTGATGAGGGAATCCTCTGGCAGATGTTTGGCCCCTTTGGTGCGGTTACCAATGTGAAAGTTATTCGAGATTTCAACACCAACAAGTGCAAAGGTTTTGGTTTTGTGACCATGACAAACTATGAAGAAGCTGCAATGGCCATAGCAAGTCTTAATGGCTACCGCCTGGGGGACAAAATCTTACAGGTTTCCTTCAAAACCAACAAGTCCCACAAATAACTTGCTCGTGCTTTTTGTATGGAATAGATAATGGAGTGACAGAAGTTGAAACATTTTTGTTAGTGTAAAACTCATTTTGCGCCAATTTTCACAAGTGTTTGTCTTAGTCTAAATGAGAAGTGAAAAGGTTTTATATTCTGGGATGCAACTGACATGTTCAAATGTTTGAAATCCCACAATGTTAGACCAATTTTAAGTTCCTTTAAGTTATTTCATTTAAAACATGTTAAAAATCCCCTGAAATCTTAAGTAGATTGCATTAACTAGACCCTCTGGATGGTGGTAAAATTGAAGCATGCTTTCACTTATGAGACTAACATTTGTTTCATTGAATGTTGTCTGCAAAAACTGGAATTTTTTGAAAAATATCAGGCTGAATTCATTGATTTTCTTTGGTTTTATGTTGTTCTTCCTACCCATCCCCCTGTCCTTTTGTTCCCCCCCAGTTTCAGTAGTATGGAAGAAAAGTTGAGAAATACTAATGTTTTAGTTGACAGTGACTTGTTTGATCAATTAATATTCATTACTCTCTGTCTAGTTGAGGATCAAGCTTTTTAAAGTCAAGGTCTTGTAAGTAGTAGCATGCCAGCCTAACTTTAACACCATTGAGGAGGTAAGTTGCACACTGAGCAGTGGCCAAGCTGTCCAATTCACAGGTTTTAGAAATGTGACCTTTAAAGCCCACTTTGAGAGGAATGGACCAAAGAGTTTCAAAGAAACTCCGGGAAGATTTCAGAGTCAAAATGAAACTCAAAAAAAGCGAGTGTGAATATATGTTGCTACTTTATCAGACTGAATCTCTTCTGTCCAAATATTTAATGCATGGTGCACTACTTACTGGTACATTATAATGCAGCAAGATACTTACTCATTTTCCAAGATCATTGTAGTTGGAATTCCTTTGGCAGTTCTATTTTGTAAAGAAAAAACAGTTATAAACATTTGAGCATTGTATTTCTCGCATCCCTTCTAATGAGTGCTAGTTTTTCTATTTTAATAGGATTTTGTTTTGACAACTAGCTTTACTTATTGAACACTCAGCAGAAAAGTACTTACAACTTGCAAGTTAGATATTAACCAAAAAACCCCTTTGATTTGTAGATTTAAAGATTAATCCCCCAGGTTTTCTGCAGACTGCCTTGAAACTCTGAGTTGTTCTGTTTCTGTTAATTTTCTTTTGCTTTTTTGTGTTTTTTGTTTGTTTTTACTTTTGCATTTAAGAACATTAAATTTGATTTTGTTTTGCTCAAATTTTGTTTTGTTTTTTATTTTCTGTTGTTTTTTTTGCTAAGTATTGCACAAAGTGTCCAGCTTTCAGAGTGTTGTTTTAAGGAACTGTAGCTCTTCTTTAAGAGAATTTTAATTTACTGCTTTGACAGATGAGTAAAAGAAAAAGAGTTTTTGGAACAAGCTCCACAATAAATCCATCACATAGAAATGATGTGTCACAGACTGATGTAACCCTCAGGTGTGCTTGGGTAGGAAACTGGGATGGTTGACCCTGCCTGTACAGGTGTGTGAGCTGCTGTGCACAACTAGAGACTTGGCTCTGGTGTATATGTAGGTAGACCAGGTACAGAAACGAGGTCTGTGGCAGTTTAATGCAGTGTGTCTTTGTTTTGCCTGAATCTCTACAAGCCCCAGAGTTCATTTCCAAACTCCAGAGGCCAGTCCATGCTGCCTGCTCATCTCCCTCTATCCCCAGTTGACCCTGCCTTGTGCTTGCCACCGTTTGTCCTCTCCTTGTCATCCCCTTGCCATGGGATCTGCACAGCCCAATGGCTCCCTCACCCTCCACATGCAGCTGAGCTGCTGCCCAGCTCCAGGGAAGATCTGTCGGGGGACCTGATCTGATGTTCCTTGACCTGCCCAGGGCATATCTAAACTCTACACATAGGCCTTGGCCCAGTGAGCAGCCTCCCACTGAGTTTGAGCTTATGTGCAGTGAATGCAGGTGGGATTTTTCCTGTTTAAACGTCCGACCTTGCCTCTCCTGCCAGGCCCTCCCCATCTCTTGAGAAACTCGGTGCTTGGTGAAACAGTGACTGTGACACAGCAGCCAGCCCACTTCCACCCCTCAAAGCTGTTCTTGGCTGTCACAGTTTTCCTTCCACCAATTCGTCACCATCCATTTATCAAGTCGATGATTATTTCTTTTCTGCATACAAGGAGAGCTTGGGAAGCATTCTGGGGGTTCTCCCAAGTTAAAGCTGTGTAGTACAGAGAATTTCTCTTACCCATCACTGTTGAACCCTGCACTGTCCTGTTCCACAGGAGTGGGCTGTAGTCATTCCCAGTTCCGGTCATTCTCTCTTGCTTTATTCCATTTAAGATAAATTTGCTTCTAAACTAAATGGGAATTTCTGTTTGTCACAATATTTATCCGCGGGTTCAGACCTCCAGTGAGTGACCCCTAAACACCACTCTGTATCAGTACTGGTTCCAAGCACACTGGCCATGGCAGCTGCACATTGCTCTGCTGCCACTTCTGAATAAAACCCCTTCTCTTGGATGCTTTCTGGCATCACTCTTCCTTGCTTTTTCCACTGCTTCCCTATTTCTCTAATTCTTTGCTAAATAAGAAGGAAATGCAGGATATGGTTTTGTACCGCTACAACAGTCTCTTTTAGCAAAGGTCTGATTCTATCTTTCTTTGATAGTTGCTCTGATAATAATTTTCAGGCAGTTGGTATGAGCAAAGCACTGCTGCTCAAGTCAGGAAAAGAGGAAAAACTCCTGCTAAGAGCCAGAGCTGATACCAGAAGTAGTGTATGATCTGTGCTATTCTAACAGTCAATAAAACCTTGGTGTAAATAGCTGAAGTCCAGAAAAAATTGTGTATGTATTTTTGATGCTTTTGATCCTAAACAGCAGCTTGTGCATCCTCCTAGTAAAGACCAAAAGGCAGCTTCTGGGGGTGGAAACTAAATTCTAACAAGACATTTGCCAGGAGTTTTTCTGCCCATAAGGTAGGAGCAACTCGTTTCCTCCTCACACCCTGCTTTGAAGCTCTCACTTGAACAGACCCGTTTCAAGAGAGGTTTTGGCCTCTAATTCTCAAAGATTGCTCTGCTGTTTCATCCATCAGTTTGATGGAGTTCAGGTGTTTCTGCCAGGTGATGCTTCTGTCAGTCAGTGCTTACAGGATCTCTGTGGAACCAAAGGGCTTTCTCAAAGCAGAGGTCTCATTGTTCATGAGATACAGTGGTCTCACTGAGGTAGAGAGTTCTGGAAAGTCTTCATTGCTGGATTAGGGTGTGATGATCAGATTTTGGAGACCTGGATTTTTTGGTCTGTACTGGAGATGTGCTACAGGAACAGCTGAGAAGGGAGTGTTTTGGGGTCATTTAGACTAGGTTAAGAGTCTCTTGGGAATCCCCAGGTGTAACTTCTGAAGGAGCAGGTGTAATTGCTGCTGAAAACACAGTTATCCATGCCACTGTCACAGGGTTTCATGTATAGGTGCTGAGGGGAGTTATTACATTTGCTTCTCAGATGTCCACATGAATGGACATGCAGAAGAACACTGGCCATAAGCCTCATCATCTGTAAACCTCCTGTTAACCATTAGCAGATAGGGAAATCCCACATAAGTATGGAAGAGGAATCTCAGATGTTGCTGTATGTGCTTGGAATGAGCTGGCAAAGGCACATGCAGATCCTTCAGGTGAGGGGATGGCAACACCAGAAATCCAGACATGAGCAAAATCAGAGCAGTGTCTTCAGGTCTCAGTCATTCCCTGTAAGATGGTATCTGTGCACTGAAGTGTTGGATTTGTTTTATTTTTATTTTTCAAGCTGCTTTATCATAAAATTTGGTTTACTTGGGCTGCTCCACTCTCCTGTCAGAGACTGGCCAGTGCAGTTACTGTTGCCTCCTGAGCCCTCCTGTGCCAATCCCTGCATCTCTTCTGGCTCTGGGACTGGGAAAGGCTTGAGGATCCCGCTCTTAGGGTGAGGGGAGAAGTCACCATTGCCACAGTGGTGTGTGTGGCCACACAGCTTTTCCTTCCCTTTGCTTGGATATGTTTTTTGTACATCTGGATCATGTGAGCATGAAAACCACTGAAAATCCAGACACGAGTCACTGGAGCAGGATAAATTGTCACTGCAGTGAACACTGGTTGGTCAATGTGTGGTCATTTGCCCTTGTCCAGATGACCAAAGGGTGTTTGCATGGAGAGGACACCTATTTTTGTAGGGGGATTGAATGTTGTAGTAATGTTATTTATACAAAGCAGTTAAAAATCTTTTTTAAAAAGGTTTTAAAAAAGTCCTGGTATCATTTATAGAAAGAATATCCAGCAGTCAAAAGAAAATGATGAACTAACTGTAAAGGTGATCCATTATTTTAAGGCTGAGTTTGGAAAATGAATAGTTATTAAGGTCCTTCAACATTTGTTACAATTCTTTTGTTGCTTTAATGTTCTGGGTAAGGTCAATAAAGTAGAAATTCTTCAAATATTTCAGGAGAGATTTTTTTTTTTTCAGTGCATTTTAAACAGCAATAACTCAAGTTCCTTTTTGGATAGTTTATCATTACATGTCTGCTGTAAAAAAAAACACTAGGAGAATGTCCCCATGTTTACTTTTCTAACACAATATACAGATCATATGATAAAATAAACTGTTTATTCACAGTAGCTCCTCTGGTAGCTCTGCCCTGCAGAAGGTTAGAGTTTGTGGCAGGTTTTTAAACAGACGGCTTTTGTGAGCTGCTGGTAACCTGGTTCAGTCACATAAGTACAGAGCAGTTTGTCTGGATGCTGCTTCTGTCAGAAGATCCCTGTATTTTTTATTTCCATAATGAAGAAATGTGTCCTTTATAACTCTGTCAATGAAGCACCTTATTGTTACATTTCTACATTTAGGCATCTACAAATAGCTTTAGAGGGAAGGGACCAAATTCACCATAAGGAAACACCAACCCCTTGAGCTCCCTGAGTGGAGCTGCACTTGTGTTTTGGCTTTTTTTCATTTTGTTTTTATTTTCCAAGAGCTGTATTTGTCACCTGAGGTAATTTAATCTCTATTTGGAAGCAGGAGAGTCTTTTTGTGCCTTTGGCAAGTTCCTCTAACGTAGCTCTGCACTTCTCAAGATTGGCTACTCAGCACAGTAGATTGGATAAATCCAGAGCTCAAGAGGCCAGTGGTTGTTTTCTCTGATTATTATTTTTATTATTACTGAGTTTCTCCTTACTAATGTTAAAAATGTGGAGTTCATAAAAAGGGTCTCTTTCCCTCCCCCTCACTTGGAAGAGGCGGTACCTCCATGACCACCAGTGGATTGAAAATCACCGTTAATTTCTAAGCGTCACTCGTAGGTTGATCAGGTATGACATCATTTCAGTGGTTGCTGTTTGTAGTAGTCTCATGTAGTCAAACAAAACCAAACTCAAAGTACTGCTTTCTCATCCTGTGTGATTTAAAACCAGTCAAAGTCTTTATGATCTCTAAAGCCTAACACACCACCCCATGAGTGGGTTTGATGTTGAACTCTGGCGATTCCTTCTAGATCACACTTGATCAAACAGCAACAAAGATATTTTTCTGTTGAGTGGAATTTTCAGCACTGAAATTCTCTTTCGTTGCTAATGACAGGAAAACAGTAATGGTAGAACTGCCACCTGAAACCTTGGAAAATTGATTCTGTGTTCATATTTTAGAATCTCAATATTCTCCTACTGTTGTTCCTTATTTCTAAACATTTTTGGGCAAGTTTTTAGTGGTATGGCTGAACTTTTTCACTTGGTCATTGAGAAGAAAATAACTTGAGACATTTGAAACATAAATTGGGATAAACCTTGATTTGATGAGTAATTTGAATAATACTGTGCTTCTAGTATTTTTATTGATTTCCTTTAACTTATGTAATCTTTTGTTTATAAATTAATCTGTTTGTGGGACAGAAGGTTTTATCAATTGCTTTCCATACTGTACAGTATATGGTTACACATTTTGTATATTTAGTGTGTTTTTAAGTTATTGATTTGTTTTATATCAAATAATTTATTTTTCAGGTACCATTTTCATTTAAACTTTGTTTTTACATGGGTTTACTTTAAATAAAGTATGACACTGCTTTCCAAATGTCTAAAATGAAGTTGAATCCCATTGTGTTATTTTGAGATGATTTATGTAAATTAACTTATTTTAGAAATAACTGCAAAAATGTACCAAGTTCATACTTTGGTTGTGCTTCAATTCAAGTGCTTGGAAATTCTCTGCAATGATTTTTGAGCAGTTTGAAAAAATGGAATTTTCATATTGAAACAGTTCAAAGATTTGTTGATGAAGCAGTAGCTTTGTAGAATCCTGTGGATGGAGTTATGAACATTGTTTTCTATATGAATTTTCAAAATTAAATGAAACAACTCATAGATATTTTACACTGGTGTTAAGATTTAAATGGCATTATCTATGTTAATAGTGCAAAGGAGTTGTGTACTTTGCCACATGTTCATGGCTGGTTTTGTTGAGCACTTGTTTGGAACATACTTGGGATGCTTTTACTTGAGCCCTGGTGAAGGGCGATGTACTTCAAATAGAATTAGGCTTTTACTTAATTGTTCATATTTTGTCTTTTTTTCCCTGCAGGAATTGGATTATTATTGTGCAGTTTGGAATTTGACATATTTTCAGAAGAATCTGAACTGTGTTCAGGAATGGGCCAATCAAGGTTCCTCCACTAAAGTTGTGGCCTTGTTAGAAAGATGGAATTAAAAGAAGGGGCTTAGTTTCCTTTTTATTTTTCAGGAAAAATGTTGTTGTCTTTATGTTACATTTTTCTCAATGATTAAACCAAACCCAAAGTCCAGCTATACTGTTACTCAGCTACTTCAGGGAGCTCCTGGGGAAATTGCCTCAAGTTGGCCCATTGGAGGTTTAGATTGGATGAAGATTTTCTGCAAATTGCAGAAAACCAGGGTTGCCAAGCAGTGGTGGTTGCAGAAGTGTTCAAAGAACGTGGCTGTGGCACAGAGGGGGGGTCATGGGCTAGTGGTGAACATTGTGGCGTTGCCAGGTTGATGGCTGGACTTGATTGCCTTAGAGGGCTTTTCCAACCTAACAACTGTGATTCCATGAGAAGGGACCGGACCATCAGTGCAGGTCAGGCTCCCTGGTTCCTTGGATGAGGCTGGGGCAGGACCAACACTCCCAGGTAAAACCCTGGGGGAGGTTCTGTAAGGGGTGATTTTCAGAAATGCTTCTGAAACCATGTCCTTTTGATTGAAGGAGCACATATAATCCTGCTGGCTCAGCACAGACTGTGTTCCAGTCTTAGTCCTTTCTTCACCAACACACCTTTGGTTTTGGTTTTGGTAAGCTCAAGTCTGTCCTGCTGCATTTTGGCAGGTGCCTCCTGTCCTTCAGTCACAGAAATAATCCCTCTGAGAGCTGGGCTAATTGTTGTACCTTTGAGATGTTGCCTGTTACTTTTCTCTTAAAGGCTTACTGTGAAAAGTGATGTAAAGTAAGAGATATAGTGTTTCATGTATGATGTCATGGAACGTATGGAAATGCTGCCTCAGTTCAGGATCTCTTCCAACTCAGGAGATTTTAGATTTCCAGTAATTTTTTCTGCAATGGGAATTTCTCAGTTCAGCACTGTTCACCATATGGAGTTACTCATTGACCTAAATTGGTAAAGAGCAGAAGTGAGAATTTCTGTTCCTACCATTATATCAATGGATTGTTGAATGTGCAGCATCTGAGGGATTCAGGAATGCTTCATCGGGATTTAGACCTTACTTGGGTTTTCCTTTGCATGAGCTGGAACACCTCCATTCTTGCTCCCACCACAGTTTATCCCACATGGTTCACTTTCCTTATGTTCATTTGACCTCTATTGTATTTTCCATGTTTTTTTCTATGAAAAATCATGAGGGGAAAAAAAAATTCAGTTCCAAAAAGCTTAATAACAGACATAGCCAAGTGAAGTTCTAGCCCCTCAAAAATGGCTCTTTTTTTAAAAGCAAACAAAAAAACTGAGTGTAGACCCATTAATGCCTAGACAGGGACTCTGGTTTTTGCAGAATTCCTGACAGACTCCCTGGCTTTTGACTATTCCCCCTCCTTGCTCTGCTGTTGTGATATCCTGTTTCCAAATTTTATCCCCTTCATTTCCAGAACAGTGAAAGAGGGAGGGCAGCAAAAAGGTGATAAACTGTTATGTCAGAGAAAGATGTCTGTATTTCCTGTCCTTAAAAAAAATGGAAAGAATACGACTGTAAAAAATGTCCTGGGTCATGCTAACAGTGCACTTGCTCCGGATTCTGTCCCAGCAGTGGCAGTGAGCAGCTATTTAAGGAAGGCCTGGCTGCCATCCCCCCTCCCTTCATTCCCCTTGTGCTTCCCCAGTTTGGAAGTAGCTCAGTGTCAGAGGGGCCCTGCCTGTTCCCCAAATACCTCCTCTTTAGGGTCCTGATTTTTGAAATTGTCTTTCTTTGTCCTAAACTGTCCTCTCCTTCCATCCTGTACTGACAGCAGGAAGGGGAAGTGCTACGTTTGGGAGTGGTTTTGCACGTGTGTGTTATCTGTGCAGCTGAATGAAGGCAAATAAATCACGATGTTTTGCTCTTTGCACTGTGACACACTTTCTTTTTTGTGGGTTTTTTTGGAAGTGTTTATGTATAGAAACAGCGATGAGCAAAATGGGACTCTGATTCTTAGTTTGTCAGAACTTGAACTAGCATCTTATTAGCAAATAATATTTCATTGTAACAAAACTAATTTAAACCAAATTTGTTAAATTAAAACAGTTAAAATACAAATTTTCTTTATTTGAATTTTAAGTGTGGTTTATAACTTTCTAAAGGTTGACATTTCCAGAATGGATTGATTTCTCCCTGCAGGGCTGGAGCTCCATGCTTATAAAAGAGCCTGTGCTCAAACTAGAGCTTACAAAGAACTGAGTTGAATAAAAAAAAGTTTTAGGCTTCCTGTGTTCTCAGAGTAGGGATCCGAGGAGCTGTTAAACCTACTTTAACAAACCTCTTAAACCTACTGTTTGAATGTGTTGGAACAGATTCTGCCCCAAGAGAAGGCTCGTAGAGGAGAGCAGAGCAGGAGTTGTTTGGCTTGGGAGCAGAATTGGGGCAGTGTAAGCAGTGCTGAGCTGCTTCCTGCCATGGGCTCCAGCTCTGGTGTCACAGGAGGAGGAGGCACTGGCAGGACTCCAAGGCTGTCTTGCAGCCCATGAACAGCTGTGGTAAGTAGCTCATGCTTCTCAGTCCTGGCACAAAGGGGTTTGGTCTTGGTCTAACCAGACTTGCAGAGTTTGTGATGGAACACTTTTATGATCATATATCCTGCTTTACCATTCTGTCCAAGCTTGTTCCTTGTGCTTTACATCTTTCAAGAGACACAGAGTGCATATACATTTGTATGTGTGTGTACACACACATGTAATACCTGTGTGTAATAGAACGTGTAGACTGTATTTATACATTGTTTAGGGTACCTACACATACCTGTCAGTTGTGTGTTACCGTGTCTGTGC